AGAGAAAACTTGTGCGCTGATATCCTCTTATGTTAAAAATATAATATTTTTGTTAATCTTAAAATGTATAGAGTAATTTATTGATGTTTTTCGGAGATTTTGAGGAATAGGCTAATTTAGAAAAAAATACTTCTTTAAACTTTAAAGAATATCTTAATAAGTTGTTTTTAGAAGAACTACGTTAATAAGATTTTTGGAACTTTTACTCAGAAGTATGTATACATATCTAGTAATTACAAAAATAACATTTGATCAAAAAATCTTGAAACCTGATAAAATAATATATTTACATTGAACCTCATTTTATTCTTCAATTTATCGATACAAATGTCAATTAATAATTAGGATAAATTTACTATTGATTATTCTAAGTTATGAAGTAAAGTTTTTAATAGCATTTTAAATAAATACAGGGTTAGTATGAAATATGAATAATGAGGGTGATTCGCCAAGCATGTTCAACCTCGATTTTCCCCTTTTATAATGATATTTTTCAAATCCTGATAGATATTTGGAATTTTTTAAACATACTATTAGACCTTTTTTTTTCAAATTCTTAATTCTTTTATTTTACTAACGAAGGAGAATCATGTGGCAATAAAATCTGTTTTTTTTTTAAAGGAGAAGCTTCTTTTTTTAACTGTAAATTATTTAGTGAATATTTTTTCTGAAAATTTTAATATGCCTAATTCAAAATTCAGACAAGTAATTTCTCAGTCATTAAAATCTTTATTCTAAAGACAATAGTATTTTAAAAATATATAAAACAGAAGTAGTATAATTTGATCTAGTATTTACTATACTTGAACTATTTTTATAAATTATGAATGTTGATAAATTAATATTAATCACCGGCATTTTTAATTCACAATAGCCTTAGTATCTTCCAAACCCATTTTCCTTAATACACAAAGTTAAATAAATCAAAAATTACATGTTTAAATATAGATTCTAGACGYCAACTTTATCTAAAGAATTACATCTAGTTATAATAAATAACATTCAAAAAGAAGGGTTTTCATTTGAAAAGCAGAAATTTGAGTTGCCAAGAGGCACTTCTTAACTGCAATGAAAAAATTCAAGAATTTAAAAGAATGGTCATTGAGTATATTTAAAAATTCCAAAAACAATAATTATAATTAATTAATCATTAAAGGATTATGTGTGGCAGGATTTTGTTTCTAAWGATCTTAGGTGGTCACCCATCCAGGAGCTAACAATACCTGCCAATGCGTACACTCAGAATGCAACTAAGGGTAAACACAGAACCGTACCAAGCCACATTTAATATTTTTGTTCTAGATGATTTGTGGATCAATAGGTTTTWTGATATTCAATATTACAGTGGAACCTCTATAAGTGGAATTTTCGATAACTCAAAAGAATGCCTTGGCCCCTGCCTTACAATATATGATATGTGTGAACTTCCGTAAGTTGAATTTTTGATAGCTCGTTTTTTTTCGCCTCCGACTGATTCGAGTTATTGAGATTCCACTGTATTTCCAATATTACGTGAGTAAACAGTTTTATTTTTTAAGATTTTTTACAATAGAAATAACTGCAACAAATTTTTGAATAGCCTAGTTTTATACTTGTGTATTGGAAATTCAACACATAAGATACGTATATGGTACCTATCATATCTATTATCTACTTTAAGCAGGGCCCTGTAAAGATGAACCTCTACAGTTCCTTACTTTAGAATAATACGATAATAATGTATCATATTACTATCTGTATACAATTGTTGTTGAAAATAAATAAAAATAATACATTGCTAAAATATAAAACATGGWATGGACTATGATACCAGTATAAAAACTTGTTTTAAGTAAATTTATACATATTTTGTATTATTAATTACATATTAATTATAAGATAGTAAAAAACACTATAATTATTAACTTAAGCACTTGTAGCTTTAATATTTAGATTATTAATTTATTATAGTATGTGCCTAGATATATTTATTGGTACAACTGATATGAATATAACTCAATCAAGTAGATTAATTTAATTTATAAATTATCATTAACAACCTAATTAAAGTTCAAAAGTGTTTTCACGYTGACAGCATTTAATTTAGTAGAACACATTTTAAAACACAAGTATTTATATCAATAAGCCCTATTTATATAAACTTAAAACTCATGCAATACAAATATCATTACAAGAATTTAGATATTATGTAGGTAACCCTATTTCATCTAAATTATTAATTTTGTTAAATGTTTAATATTTTTCTTACTTATATATTTTGAAACCCATAAAATATTAGATATTGGCAAGACTCCTAAATAAAAAACTATTATTGAATCATGTACTAAGAAAACATATTATAAATATTAAAATGTTTCAWAAATAACAAAATAGTTGAATATTTAAAAGAAAAATGTTTATATATTTGGGCAAGAAATTTTATCTAGTTGCGGTACCTAAAATAATAAACAAAAAATAAAAATCAATTAACTTGTATCTTACAATACTTTGAAAATTTAATTTATAATTATTTTAACCATTATTATTAATTTTGATTAAAAGTATATCACATAGTAAATAGTACATACTAAATATAACATTAAATCTTTAAATATGATTTAATTTGTGCTGTGTAATTATAAATAAAATTGATCCAGCTTAATTACACAAGTTGCAACAAATCAAAAGTACCAAACTATACTCTGTCTTAAAAAAGAATAATCAGTCGGCCAAGTGACTATCGTCAGTCTCGCCAACGATCAATTGTTAGCATGATCACGTGGTTCTCAAAACACCAATCGCATTATTCACAATGCACAAACAGTGATTGTTTTCTTTTGAGACAGAGTATATAAGGAATAATTTAGTTCATCGCAATAAAGAAGAATTGTAAATTAAAATGCAAACAATATCTAAAAGGAGCAGTAAATAATGCATACAATTCCTATAAAAGTATAAACAATTTATTTTAAGAATTAAATTAGTAATTATGAGAAAGAAAATTGATAATCAAATAGGTATTTGTAAAATCTTATGTCAAAAATATGTATGTATAAATGTGTAAATATTTGTATCTAAAAAAAGTTAGTATATAATATGTACTAAGTACTTCTAATATTAAAAACCTATATCAAATACCAACTAATTTGATAGGTACCTACCAACAATTTTTCATTACTAATTTAAAAACAACAGTTTATTAATTTTAATATAATTTTTATTTTAAACCCATGAAAGGTAATAATGGACAATTAGGTACATTACACAAATAAAATTATCACAGTGATAAGAACTATAAGGTAAAATGTATCTGAAATCAATTATTGATTACTAAATACTAATACTATTACTTGTAATTTATTAAGTGTATAATATAAAATGTATACCTAACGGTTATACTAAAGTATATTAAATATTTTTTGTTATTTGTTTTGTTCGAAAATTATATTAATCAAATTTTTATTACTGCAATGACAGAATTATTACTTTAAAATGGGAACCTCAGTAGCTGAATATTATATTAAGAATTTAAGAAACTTAAATTGATTTTTTAAAATTTATAATGATAACATTGAAACCAATTGCAAGACATCCACTAAACCACTTTTATAAATAATTAATAGGTACATTAAATAGGTACAACACAGATTTAAGGTCAATGAATATTATGTTAAAATTAACTATCATTAATTTTCAAAGCATTAAAGATTTAAAACTTATTAGGTAAAGATACTGTCAATTATTAATATAAATTTTATTAATTATCTAATTATATATTTTTTAAATGTTATGAATCACTTAAATTATTAGTTATATTAATTTTGATATTAAAAACAAAAATATTGAAATATTAAACTGTAAGTAGGTACCTTTATATTACACTCAACACCAATAAATGTATTTTGAAATGTCTGAAGTATCGGTCTCTTTTTAAATGTATCCGATAAATTCTGACAAGTAAAAAAAATATTGGTAGACAAAAATTGCTCACCCAAAATTAATTTATTCAAGCAATATAGGTAGGTATTTGTTAGTTTTTAKAATAATAATGAATCAGTTTTTTTTTTAATGAATGAATGATAATAGTTCAACAAATATAGGTATTATATCCATTAAATTAAGTGTATCAGAGTTGATCTAGTCAATTAATATTAAGACATTATATTTTAAGAATAAAACACATACATTTTTATACATAATATATACTAATAAAATTATTAAAATTACAATATATTTGTTTGAGAATTAAATTACAAAATTGTTTAAAGTAACCTATAACTAATTTAGTTTAAAAATGATTTTTTTGACTTAAGATTTTACACTATTTGAATAATAATTGACTATAAAGAATAAGTAAGGAGGTAAGAACTACTACATATTATTATTGCTTATTTATTTAATACTCAAAAAATTTCAGATTTAAATTGTAAATTAATTATTAAAGTCACTTTAATAAAAAAAACAAAAACAGACGATACAAGAGATTGTTCATGCACCTTTAGAATACAATAAAAGTAATATTGGTCTCAATGATTTATTTATCCTACATTTCATTAGGTACCTAGTGTTTAAATTAAATATATTTTCAAATCAAAACAATAGACAAACTACAACAGTAATAGAACATAATATTATTTATTAAAATCAAACAACTACATAAAAATTATAAAAAAAAAAATAAATAAATAACTGATAAGTTGTAAAAATCATAAAACAACACTTCTTTTATATTAGGTAATAAAGTAAACAAAGGCAATATTGTTTAAATACTTGCATGCATAAGCAATAGGTAACACTGATAGAAATCCGGTAAATAATTCAATCTATTCTTCCACTTATCTATAATTGTAGAAATTCAACTCATACCTAACAAAAAAATATAATTTCTAGATTTACAAATAAAAATACATAAACCTAGAAGTTATAATTGGATCCAATAGTCAGTTTATTTAAATGACACATATATATATTTTTTTAAATGTATTACCCAATTATAACACAATAAAAGGTAGAATACATACCCAAAATTCTTGATCTTCTGATATTTCACGTTGAATGAGTTCACTGAATGACAGCTTACAATTGGCTACAAACAAGTCTTCAATGACAGCATCGTGGAACACTGTCAATCCCAGTCGGTTTGCATCGTGAACGTCTTGAGTGAAATACTCGTTCCACACAGGATCATAAGTTTTGGGCACAGTGGATGACCGGAGCAATATGTTGTCGTCAACGTCAATGCTTACATAAGCGTCCAGCAATGGGTCTTCAGGCTTTAAAAAAGACATGTTCTTGAGACGTGTCTGCAGGTCAGTGGGCCGCAGGCCAGAAGCCTCGCAGAGCTTTATGCGTATGGTGCCTGTGAACGTCTGGTCCATTGAAACGGTCGAACGGTCGCCATCATCTTTCTTCTCGACGCCAATCATAGTGGCGTATGTAGTGTGCGGATACAGATTTCGACGAGACAAAAAAAATTCAACGATTTTAACGGTAGACTATATAATATAATTATAACGTGAATATTATTTTCGCACAAATAAATTAATAACGAGCAATTGGATAGGTATTAAAACACGGAGATGTTATAAATTATTTGTTTTTTCTTTCAAAAACGACCAATAATTATAATATTATAATAATTTATTACGATGGATGGCGCGTGAGGCCCTTACTCGGCGGTGGTGACGAGAGTATAATAATAATATTACTATAATATTAATATCACGCGCGACATTCAACGACGGCGGCAGCGGACGTAACGCACCATTGTCTGCCGTCCGACTACTAACCGCGGCGGCCGCGTACGGCGTACGTAGATGTACGTCGACGATCTTTCCGGAGCGGCGGCGGCGGCGGCGGCGATACAAAGAACACGACGAGTCGACGACTGAATTGATAATAGCTGCTCCGTCCGACCGACCGACATCAACCGCGGGCGCCCATTTTCGTAATGCTCCGGTCACATCCTTTTTTTCCTTCTCACCGCACACGCTCGGCGGCGGCACACTCGCGCGTCACGGGCACCGTCACCTATCGATGTTTATACATTTATCCGGTATTCCCCGTCCGGCCGGATTACGTACCGACGTGCCGCGGTACGACAATTGTCGATTTCGATATTCGATTTTCGACGTCTCGCCTACCGAACCGCCCAGTTTGGGCGGCCACGCCATCGCCGATGCCGAACAATCGAAACCGTGTTCGCGGGGTGGAAGGGCTAGACATAGACTATCGCCGATAATATCGATTCCGCGCGCACACGCACGCACACGGCCGCCGCAGTAGCGACAACTGTCGCGGGACGCGCGTTCGGGGCGGTGCTCTAATTTGATAATGCGAACARCTGAGTTTCGGCCACCGTCCACTACCGCCCCCGCTACCGCTGTACACAGGACTCGGCGGTGTGGTCACTGGGAACCCGGGTGGCCGGGTCCTCGTCTGAAACGGCGGCAGGCGCCACACCGATTCACGTCGGATGGCGCCAATTTCATTATGAACAGACGTTGCACAAAGACGCGTGTACCTATATTAATAATAATAATAACATACACGCGAGAGACCCTTCGCGAAAAATTTGATGATCGGGCTTGTGCAAACAACTTAACGGTGGTGTTTGGTTTACGTAACATTTTCTGGCCGTCCGATGGTGTTTACAATGTTGCGGGAAGTCACTGCAATATTGTCATCTTGGCCTCGGAGATTGGAAAACAATTAGCGGAGAAGCACGCAAAAATTCCGAAAACATAACAGAAACCCGATCCCACGACCTCCGATCTTTCGTCCTAATATGTACGCTCATATTAGATTTATGCCGTACTTATAACGTATAGTGGGTATAAAGAGCAATTTTGTGCTTACGTGGATCGTTAAAAATACAAACACTATATTATAAAACCCTTATTATGGCGGTCGTTGGTCAGTAACTACATATTATATGGAACCAAATTGCAGGGCAATAGGAAATATTAAAAAACCAAATGCGCAGTTCACTTAAGTCAACCCATTTTTTGTACAATATTTATATATATATATATATATGTATGTATATGTATATTGTACATATTATTGTGCCATAAAATAATATAAATATTTGTACGTTTTCAAATTTACTTCTACTCTGTCRTATTCTATATTATAGATGTGTGATTTACGTCTAAAAATTACATTATAGGGCTCAGCGTGGGAATTAAAATAGAATACTATATACAGTAGTCACTCGATAATTCGAAATTCAGGGGACCGAGCTAAAAATTTGATTTATAGAGTTTTTCGATTTACTAAGTGTTCGAATAATCTAGGGAAAAGAAAATTAATTCGAATTAAAGAGAGGTGAAAAATTGTATGTTGTTTTTCACTTGCTTCAACTGCCGCGATCATTTTTTTGTCAGCGTTCGACAGACATTTATAAACTTTACGGAACCCATATTCCGACTGACTGCGTTTTATTCGATTTCAACAACTGTTTGCAGAGGTTTATATTGGTAAAACGGTACGATTAAAGTCTTGATTATAGGTAGGTAAAGTACGATAATATATTTTAATAGCCGTCGTTATTAGTTTAATTACGAGTACTTCAAATTGATTGTACATAATCTTTATATATATTAAATATGGTAAATTCAAAATACATGTAATCGCGTTTAAGGAAATTTGAATTATAGAGGTTCTGAAAAAAATTCGAATTTTCGAGGAGTTTGGAATACGTGTATTTTCTTCTAATTATAAAGATTTTCTCAGAGGATTAAGCGTTTAGTTCGGTTAATAGAGTTTTTCGAATTATCGAGGTTCGAATAATCGAGTGGCTGCTGTATATTAAGTAATTTTTCACCCTCACGCAACCCCACCCCCCACATGTGTTGCACAACTTTTTATTACCACTCAACCCTATACTTTCGTCAGTGCTCCAATAAGCGCTAATGTATATGTTAGCGTTAATGTATGAAATTCAGTAATCCTATAAAATAACTAGTTATTCTATAGAATTCCGGGTATTTTCAATTAATGTATTAAATGTAATCCATAAATACATACTTCAACTAGTTATTCTACATATTAATTAGATATTTTATAAACTAAAAATAACGGTTCAGTTAATGTATTTAAAACTATTATTGAATCTACACAGATGCGGATCCAGGAAAATTTAGCAGGGGGTGCTCAAAAAAAAAAAATTGTTACACCTTACTATTTATTTAAATATTACCATTTTCTATTTGATTTATTATTGCCAACTTTTTTTTCATAATAATTGTTATCGGTGCTTTCCGCCGTTGACGGGTATCGTTATACACACGAGTATACTTCGAAAACAATTAACAATAATAGTTATTATTGTCATAGTGCACTATGACGGCGATAACAAAAAGCACCGAAATTATTATTATTATTAATTTAATTTTGAAAAATAACAAATTATATTATAATTTATAATATAAATTTATTTTGTTGGTGTTTAGATGACAGGGGGTGCCTGAGCACCCATAGCCCCCTCTGAATCCGCGCCTGAATCTACATATGCTACCATATGTGTTCCAAGAAACAGGGTATACTTTATTACTCATTTCCCTATAAAGTATATCTTTCAATTATATTTGCGTTATGATATAATTGAAAAATCTTAATAAATTTGAATATTTATTTTTTTACTGTTCATATTATTTTTTTCTAAACATCGTGATGTAATCAAAGCTATTATTATTAAGTAATAAATTATTTACTATTTATGAATTATTTTTCCATTTTATTGTTAAACATAATGAAGTAACATATTCAACCAAGTATTTTAAGGAAACAAAATTCTAAATTTCTATTTTTTTTTTTTTAACAATACTATAGATTTGTATTTAAAATTTTATTTACATAAATTACAAACATAAACTTACAATTCTACACAGCGAATGGACTTATCTAGTCCAGTCCCGGTCATTATACCGCTAACATGATATATTATAAGGAATGATATAAACGGCGGGACCTTGAACTTTTTAAAGTTTTTAATAAAAAAAAATGAACCGGTATAAGTAAGCTTAACACACCAATAGAAAAAGTAGGTACCTACCTATGTTACCTATGTATTATAATATATACATAGAGAAAGACATAGGTATAAGTTACCTATACATCATGATAATCTCATTAGTCGTTTAGAATTAATTAAGTACTACATTTTAAATTAATTCTCCTGTTTGACGTTTCAAGTGTATTAATTAAAGACTAATGACTGCACATCAATATTTAATATTAATATGTTTTTAAATATTAGACATACCCTAACAAACTTGAGATAACTTGTTCTTATAACATTGTTGAACTTTTAACAATAATTTACGATTTAAATCATTACGTAGATTGCGGTATAATTGGTTTATAGTTATAATTTATAGCTTGYARCAGCTATGATAATGTAATGAAAAAATAAAAATGAAATATTTCTATAGAGTTTAAATTTTTTCAATACGCATGCCTCAGAAGTCAAAACATAGACAAAATACATTTTATATATATTTATAGATAATGTGGGAATATAACCTCTCCTAAACCCTATATTTTATTTGAGCCTGTACTGTATCCTTATTTTCCGATCATTGTCCGAAGAGCATATATATTATTATAACATTGAGAATACATATGGATATGCGGATGAGGGGGAGAGACAAATAATTTGCAACACATTAATTGCTGTCCCCCTTAATTAGAATTTAATGTACACTCATGGTACATTTAAATATTTAAGTTGAGGTACATGTCACTTTCTTTTGAAAAATTCTTAACACCCCCTCTCCACACCAAAAATTTTRAAATGATATTCGACCAGCAAAAATAAAATAATTTGGAAATAGCAAAAAACTCTTATGGAATTGCGATCCAAATTGTATCCTTAAAGTTGATTCCAAAACAGAGATAATAATGGCTAGGTATTTTACTATATTATAAGTGCCTAAAGCGTATAGCTATAACCAGCTAGGGGTGTTCCCATAGGGTAAACTACATATTATATGCATATGCTCTCAATCATGATCGATGTTATACCATTATTATAAAATATTTGTGTAAAGATTGACGAAATATACGTAATATAAAGAAGATGTATACAAAATGTGGTTTAATTTTTTTTCCATATTATTGACACGCTATTTACCGGCTGGCGGCTTTACTCCTATAAACAATAAGTATATAAAATTATAAACCATAAGAAAATTATTTTTATTGTATTAAATATTTATATTTTATGATATATATTTGCAACTATAGTATACTATAGTATACTTTCAAAAAAATCAATGGTAACACCTCTGGCTATAACTCATATAATATATTAATAATTAAATACCTAATATTATATTATACCTATTAAATATAATTTATAACTTTATAAGTGTATAACGTTATTGGTTATCAAAGTACCTATTTATAGATTATAGGTAATACCTATCTTATATCTTCCTAATATCTCCCCAGTCACCATTCGTATAAAATATAATGTATATGGGTAATATTAATAAAACTCAAAGCGTGGAAATATTTTTTAAATCCGTGTGGGTGGGCCGCCGCGGGCACGTTACCTAATTCACCTATTTATATTTGMGAGCTAGCACAGATTACTAGATATACTATTGTATATCGACGTCTTATAATAAGACTCTCRTTGTATTGGCCCACCCGTGTCGTGCTACGAATATTATTATGCCACTGCAGTAGGTTCTGCGACAATAATTGACCCAGCTATATAAAATAACACTGCCATACTTTCGGCCGCGCGGTCGCCGCAACAGACAACCGACTAATTTATTTTAACGATTTTTACAGTATTACTGAATATAGATTATGCATAATTATTATTGAAATATACGTGCATACAACATAATAATTTTAGTAAGTAAAAGGTAGATGCTATATTGTTGTATACCTAAAAGCTGATAATATTTTTATTTTTTTTTTCACTATCGTAAAATTTTAAAATATTAAGATGTGAAAATATTCTATATTAGTTTTAATTTTCAATTG